GTTTGTGTGGCTGCAGGACCATCTGACCAAGAACATGCGTGGAAGGCATAAAGCATTAACCCAAGTAGGACTAAACCAAAGGCCAATGTGTGCGCAAAAAACACCTTAAATGTGTAAAAGACGAGAAAATTAATGCAGGCTACCTCTCACAAACCAGAAAGCTTTTTAACTTACCCGAAGCCAGGAGCCTGCCAGGCTCGTCTGGGACTTGAATGCAACTCCTCCTCTCGGTTAACTCATCTGAGTGTCCTGGGAATCAGATTATTCGAGGTTTAACAGTCCGGATCATGTAAAAACTTCACACAAACCCCTACAAGGTTACACTTCGATCCCGTGCACACTGTTACCAGCGGCCTCTTTGTACTTGTCCGCTTCAGCAAGTTAATCCCATGGGCATGCGCAGTGCGTGCCCAGGCGAGCTCCTCAGTCCGCTCCGGGTTGATATGGAGGTTAGTCAGTGCCACAGGTGTAGCTTACCTGCTACCAGGTTGGCCTACTTTTATTGTAAGACCCACAGAGGGCAAACCTCATAGGATATTTATTCTGCAGCCTGCCTGTTGAGGCCTTACCCCAGAAAAACGGGAATTAACTTTGAATTAACTTTAGTTGTTCATTAACTATCTATTTAACTAAATAGTTTAAGAACAATTTAACACAATTAGTTATGTAATTAGTAACTCAAGACTGAATAACCACATTTATTAAAATTATAATAACACAAGTTCATAGACAAAAAACGCAACAAACGCAAACGCTTTACTGACTTATAACTGGATGTTTCTCTTCCGCTATAGAAAATAGTTCGCGCAACATATCTTAAAATGCGCGTTAATATCAACATTTGTTGGTTAATTTTAAGATTTCTCTCATGGCCTGTTAAAAGTCTTAACATAAGTGACATGCTCGAAGTAACACAAATGTAAAGCTATTGCCTATTTACTTTGAAGACTAATACTGAAGTGCTGTAGGCTAATTAAGTACAAATGTAACGTCTACGTAGGCTATTTGACCTGAGTGGGCCTGTTTCTCTTTTCTGATACTTTGTGCTTCTACAACATATCTGAGTGAACTATTGTGCTTTTACTCCAACTCATTTACCTGACGCCTTTAGTTGCTACTTGCAGATTAGTTTTCATCCCCTTCCTTTCCTGTGAACACCATGTAGGCCACCTCTACTGATTCTGGATATTAATTTTCTGATGAACTGTGCTTAATTGTTCGTTTATAGATCAAATGAATTCTTCTACAAAATAAACTATTTCAAAAAACAACTTAGATTAGCTAGACGATGTCACAGCATGAAAATAAGGCTGTTACAAGCATATGTTATCTCATATAATATTATAGACTACATTGCTGAAGGCTACTGGAGATTAGCAACCTCAAATAACTACAGCAGTAGCCTAAAGTTCAACATGCATTAATCCACCGGTGATATTAATACAAACGCTGACCATTCTTCTAGCTAATGAGTACTTTTAAATTTAATACTTTAAGTGTATTTTGCTGATTATACTTTTGTACTTTTACTTAAGTAAGGCTTTGCATACAGGACTTTTACTTGTAGTGGCGTATGTTGACAATGTGGTATTGCTACTTTTACTTAAACAGCTAAAGAATAATACTTGTTCCATCAACAAACTGGCGTCCCACATCAGGTTGACTGGCCAACACCGCCATCTTGTGGCGATTTGTTATAACGGCATTAGATTAAGACAGTGGAAGAAATGCTGTTGTAGAGTATAGAGGTTTTGCATCCTATTTGTGGTTGAACGTCACTAAAAACTTATATATAAGCTAACTCGAGTTTACTAAATATTGAAATATTGATTAAAAAGCCAAAAGCTCTTCTGGAATTGACAGCAGTGCTGATGGCCAAGATGCAGGCTGAGTCAGTGAGGACCCGTTTCAATATGTTTAACAGCTAATCTTCTAGAACCATCACTCCATCCATCATTCATCCATCCAACAACATTGCTGATGAATTTGCTAACACTTTGTTTTACGGGTCCAATTATTTCCTCTTAATTTCATTAAAGTTTAATAGAAGGAAACAGTAATTTGGTACTAATTACAGGAAAAACCGTTTAGCTACTTGTGTTGACTTGGATGTTGAGCTCCAGGTGAATTTCCATGAAAGAAGTTACTCATTTTAAATCACAGAGAATTAGTTATTACTCACTCATTTTTAGTAGAAATTTTACTTTTCATTTATGTTGAATTGTATTTGTTTGTTGACACATTTCACACTTTGTGCAGCTCACCTGCTAGCCTCTGAATAAAGAGTGCGGGCTGTGCTAGCTTAGCATTTGGGAGTAACTGGAAGTGGACCGACTGCTCTGTTTTACCTGTAATTCGTACCAAACTGTGATTCTTTCCAAGAAACTAATTAGGAGATTATTTGGAAATACTGTAAATTGGAATTTGCAAACCTGCAGAATAAGGTGTTACCCTGACTTTTTTTGGTAAGTCTTCATTTTATAAGTCCCGGGATTTCCTAAATATCTCTAGTGAGTTTTCCTGGAAAGTGTGATGTAACATGGTGCTACTTCAGTGTAGTTTGAATTAAGTTAAAGGTTTTTGATT